ACGCGGGGGGAGACTCTGGGGGAGACTCGGGGGAGACACGGGGACATTACGGGAGACTTGGGGGCCCTCTGGGACACTCTGGAAGACTCTGGGACACTCTGGGACACTCTGGGAGACTCTGGGACACTCTGAGAGACTCTGGGACACTCTGGGACACTCTGAGACACTCTGGGACACTCTGGGACACTCTGGGAGACTCTGGGACACTCTGGGACACTCTGAGAGACTCTGGGACACTCTGGGACACTCTGGGACACTCTGGGAGACTCTGGGACACTCTGAGAGACTCTGGGACACTCTGGGACACTCTGGGACACTCTGGGACACTCTGGGACACTCTGAGAGACTCTGGGACACTCTGGGAGACTCTGGGACACTCTGAGACACTCTGGGACACTCTGGGACACTCTGGGACACTCTGGGAGACTCTGGGACACTCTGGGAGACTCTGGGACACTCTGGGACACTCTGGGACACTCTGAGAGACTCTGGGACACTCTGGGACACTCTGGGAGACTCTGGGACACTCTGGGACACTCTGGGACACTCTGGGACACTCTGGGACACTCTGGGACACTATGAGAGACTCTGGGACACTCTGGGACACTCTGGGACACTATGAGAGACTCTGGGACACTATGAGAGACTCTGGGACACTCTGGGACACTCTGGGACACTCTGGGAGACTCTGGGAGACTCTGGGACACTCTGGGACACTCTGGGAGACTCTGGGAGACTCTGGGACACTCTGGGACACTCTGGGAGACTCTGGGACACTCTGGGAGACTCTGAGACACTCTGGGACACTCTGAGAGACTCTGGGACACTCTGGGACACTCTGAGACACTCTGGGACACTCTGAGACACTCTGGGACACTCTGGGACACTCTGGGACACTCTGGGACACTCTGGGACACTATGAGAGACTCTTGGACACTATGAGAGACTCTGGGACACTCTGGGAGACTCTGGGACACTCTGGGACACTCTGGGACACTATTAGAGACTCTGGGAGACTCTGGGACACTATGAGAGATTCTGGGACACTCTGGGACACTCTGGGACACTATGAGAGACTCTGGGAGACTCTGGGAGACTCGAGAAGACACGGGAAGACTCGGGGAGACACGGGGAGACACTGGGAGACTCTGAGAGACTCTGGGACACTCTGGGACACTCTGGGACACTCTGGGATACTCTGGGACACTCTGGGACACTATGAGAGACTCTGGGACACTCTGGGACACTGGGAGACTCTGAGAGACTCTGGGACACTCTGGGACACTCTGGGACACTATGGGAGACTCTGGGACACTCTGGGACACTATGAGAGAATCTGGGACACTCTGGGACACTCTGGGACACTCTGCCAGACTCTGGGACACTTTGGGAGACTCTGAGACACTTTGGGAGACTCTCGGACACTCTGGGACACTCTGTGAGACTCTGAGAGACTCTGGGACACTCTGGGACACTCTGGGACACTTTGGGAGACTCTGGGACACTCTGGGACACTATGAGAGACTCTGGGACACTCTGGGACACTCTGGGACACTCTGGGAGACTCTGAGAGACTCTGGGACACTCTGGGACACTCTGGGACACTTTGGGAGACTCTGGGACACTATGAGAGACTCTGGGACACTCTGGGACACTCTGGGACACTCTGGGACACGATGAGAGACTCTGAGAGACTCTGAGAGACTCGGGAAGACACGGGACGACTCTGAGAGACTCTGAGAGACTCGGGAAGACACGGGACGACTCTGAGAGACTCTGAGAGACACGGGAAGACTCTGGGAGACGCAGCAGGGCATCGTCACGATGGAACCCACGACCTCCTTTGTGGGCTACATGGGGGACCTTTTGTCCGTGTGCCGAGCGCAGAGGACTCACGCCTGCAGTGGCTGAAGAGGAACCAGGCCCTCCTCAGAATGTTCCTCAGCTACTGCAACCTTCACGGAGCGCTTGGAGGAGGCCTTGCCTCAGTACGCATGGAGCTGATCCTGCTACTTCAGGAGTCGTTGCAGGTGGGTGTGGGGGGGGTGAGTGGGTGGGTGGGTGGGGGGGTGGGTGGGTGGGTGAGTGAGTGGGTGGGTGAGTAAGTGGGTGGGTCAGCGTGTGAGTGAGTGAGTCAACGAGTGAGTGGGTGAATGAGTGGGTGGGTGGGTGGGTGAGTGGGTGGGTCAGCGTGTGAGTGAGTGGGTGAGTGAGTGAGTGGGTGGGTGAGTGAGTGGGTGGGTGAGTGAGTCAACGAGTGAGTGAGTAAGTGGGTGTGTGTGTGAGTGGGTGTGTGTGGGTGTGTGAGTGAGTGGGTGAGTGTGAGTGGGTGTGTGAGTGTGAGTGGGTGGGTGTGTGTCTGAGTGGGTGTGTGAGTGTGAGTGAGTGGGTGAGTGAGTGGGTGGGTGAGTGGGAGTATGAGTGGGTGGGTCAGCGTGTGAGTGAGTGAGTCAATGAGTGAGTGGGTGAATGAGTGTGTGGGTGAGTGAGTGAGTGGGTGAGTGGGTGAGTGAGTGAGTGAGTGGGTGAGTGAGTGGGGGGGGGGGGGGGTGAGTGAGTGGGTGAGTGGGTAAGTGAGTGGGTGGATGAGTGTGAGTGAGTGGGAGTGTGAGTGAGTGAGTGGGAGTGTGAGTGAGTGAGTGAGTGAGCGTGTGAGTGAGTGGGTGAGCGAGTGAGTGGGAGTGTGAGTGAGTGGGAGTGTGGGTGAGTGAGTCAACGAGTGAGTGAGTGAGTGTGAGTGAGTGGGTGTGTGAGTGTGAGTGAGTGGGTGAGCGAGTGAGTGAGTGAGTGGGAGTGAGTGAGTGGGTGAGTGAGTGAGTGAGTGGGAGTGTGAGTGAGTGGGTGAGTGAGTGATTGAGTGAGTGAGTGGGAGTGTGAGTGAGTGGGTGAGTGGGTGAGTGAGTGGGAGTGTGAGTGAGTGGGTGAGTGAGTGATTGAGTGAGTGAGTGGGAGTGTGAGTGAGTGGGTGAGTGAGTGATTGAGTGAGTGAGTGGGAGTGTGAGTGAGTGAGTGAGTGGGTGAGTGAGTGAGTGGGAGTGAGTGGGTGAGTGAGTGAGTGTGTGAGTGAGTGTGAGTGAGTGTGAGAGTGTGAGTGAGTGAGTGTGTGAGTGAGTGGGTGAGTGAGTGTGAGTGAGTGAGTGTGAGTGAGTGAGTGTGAGTGTGTGAGTGTGTGAGTGAGTGAGTGGGTGAGCGAGTTGGAGTGTGAGTGAGTGAGTGTGTGAGTGAGTGAGTGTGAGTGAGTGAGTGTGTGTGAGTGTGAGTGAGTGTGAGTGAGTGAGTGAGTGTGAGTGAGTGAGTGAGTGTGAGTGAGTGTGAGTGAGTGAGTGTGTGAGTGAGTGAGTGGGTGAGCGAGTTGGAGTGTGAGTGAGTGTGTGTGTGTGTGAGTGAGTGAGTGTGAGTGTGTGAGTGAGTGTGAGTGAGTGAGTGAGTGGGTGAGTGAGTGAGTTGGAGTGTGAGTGAGTAGGTGGGTTAGCGTGTGGGTGAGTGGGTGAGCGAGTGAGTGTGAGTGAGTGTGTGAGTGAGTTGGTGAGCGAGCGAGTGAGTGAGTGGGAGTGTGAGTGTGAGTGAGTGAGTTGGTGAGCGAGTGTGAGTGAGTGAGTTGGTGAGCGAGTGTGAGTGAGTGTGAGTGAGTGAGTGGGTGAGAGAGTGAGTGTGTGAGTGAGTGAGTGAGTGTGAGTGAGTGTGAGAGTGTGAGTGAGTGTGAGAGTGAGTGAGTGAGTGTGAGTGAGTGTGAGTGAGTGTGTGAGTGAGTGAGTGTGAGTGAGTGAGTGTGTGAGTGAGTGAGTGTGTGAGTGAGTGGGTGTGTGAGTGGGTGAGTGAGTGAGTGAGTGTGAGTGAGTGAGTGTGAGTGAGTGTGTGAATGAGTGAGTGTGTGAGTGGGTGAGTGAGCGAGTGAGTGAGTGGGTGAGTGAGTGAGTGAGTGTGAGTGAGTGAGTGGGTGAGTGAGTGAGTGTGAGTGAGTGAGTGTGTGAGTGAGTGAGTGAGTGAATGAATGAGTGAGTGTGTGTGTGAGTGAGTGAGTGTGTGAGTGAGTGAGTGTGTGAGTGAGTGAGTGTGTGAGTGAGTGAGTGTGTGAGTGAGTGTGAGTGAGTGTGAGTGAGCGAGTGTGTGAGTGAGCGAGTGAGTGAGTGAGCGAGTGAGTGAGTGAGCGAGTGAGTGAGTGAGTGTGTGAGTGAGTCTATGAGTGAGTGAGTGTGAGTGAGTGAGTGTGTGAGTGAGTGTGTTAGTGAGTGTGAGTGTGTGAGTGTGAGTGAGTGAGTGTGTGAGTGAGTGTGTTAGTGAGTGTGAGTGTGTGAGTGTGAGTGAGTGAGTGTGAGTGTGTGAGTGTGAGTGAGTGAGTGTGTGTGAGTGAGTGTGAGTGAGTGAGTGTGAGTGTGTGAGTGTGAGTGAGTGAGTGTGAGTGAGTGTGAGTGAGTGGGTGAGTGAGTGAGTGTGTGAGTGAGTGTGTTAGTGAGTGTGAGTGTGTGAGTGTGAGTGAGTGAGTGGGTGAGTGAGTGAGTGTGAGTGAGTGAGTGTGAGTGAGTGAGTGTGAGTGAGTGAGTGAGTGGGTGAATGTGGGTGTGAGTGAGTGAGTGTGTGAGTGAGTGAGTGTGTGAGTGAGTGTGAGTGTGTGAGTGAGTGGGAGTGTGAGTGAGTGTGTGAGTGAGTGAGTGTGAGTGAGTGAGTGTGTGAGTGAGTGAGTGGGTGAGTGAGTGAGCGAGTGAGAGAGTGTGAGTGAGTGTGTGTGTGAGTGAGTGAGTGTGTGAGTGAGTGTGAGTGAGTGTGTGAGTGAGTGAGTGTGAGTGTGTGAGTGAGTGAGTGAGTGGGTGAGTGAGTGAGTGAGTGTGTGAGCGAGTGAGTGAGTGAGTGTGTGAGTGTGTGAGTGTGTGAGTGTGAGTGAGTGAGTGGGTGTGTGAGCGAGCGAGTGAGTGAGTGAGTGTGTGAGTGAGTGAGTGTGTGAGTGAGTGTGAGTGAGTGTGAGTGAGTGAGTGTGAGTGAGTGAGTGTGTGAGTGAGTGTGAGCGAGTGAGTGAGTGAGTGTGAGTGGGTGTGTGAGTGAGTGAGTGAGTGTGTGGGTGAGTGTGAGAGTGTGAGAGTGTGAGTGAGTGAGTGTGAGTGAGTGAGTGAGTGTGAGAGTGTGAGAGTGTGAGTGAGTGAGTGTGAGTGAGTGAGTGTGAGTGTGAGTGAGTGTGTGAGTGAGTCTATGAGTGAGTGAGTGAGTGGGTGAGTGAGTGGGTGAGTGAGTGAGTGAGTGTGTGAGTGAGTGAGTGTGAGTGAGAGAGTGGGTGAATGAGTGGATGAGTGAGTGTGAGTGTGTGAGTGTGAGTGAGTGAGTGTGAGTGTGTGAGTGTGAGTGAGTGAGTGTGTGTGAGTGAGTGTGAGTGAGTGAGTGTGAGTGTGTGAGTGTGAGTGAGTGAGTGTGAGTGAGTGTGAGTGAGTGGGTGAGTGAGTGAGTGTGTGAGTGAGTGTGTTAGTGAGTGTGAGTGTGTGAGTGTGAGTGAGTGAGTGGGTGAGTGAGTGAGTGTGAGTGAGTGAGTGTGAGTGAGTGAGTGTGAGTGAGTGAGTGAGTGGGTGAATGTGGGTGTGAGTGAGTGAGTGTGTGAGTGAGTGAGTGTGTGAGTGAGTGTGAGTGTGTGAGTGAGTGGGAGTGTGAGTGAGTGTGTGAGTGAGTGAGTGTGAGTGAGTGAGTGTGTGAGTGAGTGAGTGGGTGAGTGAGTGAGCGAGTGAGAGAGTGTGAGTGAGTGTGTGTGTGAGTGAGTGAGTGTGTGAGTGAGTGTGAGTGAGTGTGTGAGTGAGTGAGTGAGTGTGAGTGTGTGAGTGAGTGAGTGAGTGGGTGAGTGAGTGAGTGAGTGTGTGAGCGAGTGAGTGAGTGAGTGTGTGAGTGTGTGAGTGTGAGTGAGTGAGTGGGTGTGTGAGCGAGCGAGTGAGTGAGTGAGTGTGTGAGTGAGTGAGTGTGAGTGAGTGTGAGTGAGTGAGTGTGAGTGAGTGAGTGTGTGAGTGAGTGTGAGCGAGTGAGTGAGTGAGTGTGAGTGGGTGTGTGAGTGAGTGAGTGAGTGTGTGGGTGAGTGTGAGAGTGTGAGAGTGTGAGTGAGTGAGTGTGAGTGAGTGAGTGAGTGTGAGAGTGTGAGAGTGTGAGTGAGTGAGTGTGAGTGAGTGAGTGTGAGTGTGAGTGAGTGTGTGAGTGAGTCTATGAGTGAGTGAGTGAGTGGGTGAGTGAGTGGGTGAGTGAGTGAGTGAGTGTGTGAGTGAGTGAGTGTGAGTGAGAGAGTGGGTGAATGAGTGGATGAGTGAGTGTGAGTGTGTGAGTGTGAGTGAGTGAGTGTGAGTGTGTGAGTGTGAGTGAGAGAGTGTGTGTGAGTGAGTGAGTGTGTGAGTGAGTGAGTGTGAGTGAGAGAGTGGGTGAATGAGTGGATGAGTGAGTGTGAGTGTGTGAGTGTGAGTGAGTGAGTGTGTGAGTGAGTGAGTGTGAGTGAGAGAGTGGGTGAATGAGTGGATGAGTGAGTGTGAGAGAGTGAGTGTGAGTGAGTGAGTGTGAGAGAGTGAGTGTGAGTGAGAGAGTGGGTGAATGAGTGGATGAGTGAGAGAGTGAGTGAGTGTGAGTGAGTGAGTGAGTGTGTTAGTGAGTGTGAGTGTGTGAGTGTGTGAGTGAGTGTAAGTGAGTGTGAGTGAGTGAGTTGGTGAGCGATCCAGCGAGCGAGCGAGCCGACCAATCACAACGACGTCTCCGCCCCCCCCCCCCCCGCCTCCAGGACGACCCCCACCCCCCGACCCCTGCAGGCGTGGGGGTGGGGGTGGGGGTGCCGCCCCCGCCCCCGCCCCCGCCCCCACCGCCCCCGCCCCCGCCCCTGCTGGTGAGCAGTCCGGCCCGCACCGTCATCCCGGGCCCGGCCCAGCACCTGACACTGCTGTCCAGCGACATCTTGGAGGCCTTCGCCTGCCTCCACGACCCCCCACACCCACACAGGCCCTGCCAGCAGGTGGGGGGGGTGGGGGGGGTGGGTGGGGGGGGAGGTGGGGGGGGTGGGTGGGGGGGTGGGGGGGTGGGGGTGGGTGAGTGGGGGGGGTGGGTGGGTGGGTGAGTGGGGGGGTGGGTGGGGGGGTGATTGGGGGAGTGGATAGGTGAGTGTGTGAGTGGTTGAGTGGGTGGGTGAGTGGGTGGTTGAGTGGGTGGGTGAGTGGGTGGGTGGGTAGGTAGGTGGGTGGGTGGGTGAGTGGGTAGGTGGGTGGGTGAGTAGGTGGGTGAGTGGGTGGGTGGTTGAGTGGGTGGGTGGTTGAGTGGGTGGGTGGGTGAGTGGGTGGGTGGGTGAGTGGGTGAGTGGGTGGGTGGGTGGATAGGTGAGTGGGTGGGTGGTTGAGTGGGTGGGTGGTTGAGTGGGTGGGTGGGTGGTTGAGTGGGTGGGTGAGTGGGTGGTTGAGTGGGTGGGTGGTTGAGTGGGTGGGTGGTTGAGTGGGTGGGTGAGTGGGTGGGTGGGTAGGTAGGTGGGTGGGTGAGTGGGTAGATGGGTGGGTGAGTAGGTGGGTGGTTGAGTGGGTGGGTGGTTGAGTGGGTGGGTGGTTGAGTGGGTGGGTGGGTGGGTGGGTGAGTGGGTGGGTGGGTGGGTGGGTGAGTGGGTGGGTGGGTGGATAGGTGAGTGGGTGGGTGGTTGAGTGGGTGGGTGGTTGAGTGGGTGGGTGGGTGAGTGGGTGGGTGGGTGAGTGGGTGAGTGGGTGGGTGGTTGAGTGGGTGGGTGGGTGGTTGAGTGGGTAGGCGGTTAGGGGGTGGGTGGGTGAGTGGGTGGGTGGGTGAGTGGTTGGTTGAGTGGGTGAGTGGGTGGGTGGGTGGTTGAGTGGGTAGGCGGTTGGTGGGTGGGTTGTATTGTCAACAATATCACCGCCACACTCGCACTCCTTCACTCGTCACTCCCCGTGTCTCACAGGTTCAGGTGATGTACTCCCTGGCTGCGTCTCTGTCCGCCTGCGTCCACCAGTCTCTCTGCGACAGTCCCGGAGAGAGGTGGGCACCTAGGGGCACCCCCAGTGGCAGCTGTCTCTGTACTACATCAGCCTGCTATCAGTAGTAGCAGTAGGGGGCTGTGTGGTCTAGCCTAGGGGCACCCCCAGTGGCAGCTGCCTCTGTACTACATCAGCCTGCTGTCAGTAGTAGCAGTAGGGGGCTGTGTGGCCTAGCCTAGGGGCACCCCCAGTGTCAGCTGTCTCTGTACATCAGCCTGCTGTCAGTAGTAGCAGTAGGGGGCTGTGTGGCCTAGCCTAGGGGCACCCCCAGTGTCAGCTGTCTCTGTACATCAGCCTGCTGTCAGTAGTAACAGTAGTTGGTATTAATAGTTGTGGTGGTATTAGTAGTTGTGGTGGTGGTGGTGTTAGTAGTTGTGGTGGTGGCGGTGGTGTTAGTAGCTGTGGTGGTGGTGTTAGTAGTTGTGGTGGTGGTATTAGTAGTTGTGGTGGTGGTGGTGTTAGTAGTAGTTGTGGTGGTGGTGGTAGTTGTGGTGGTGGTGGTGGTAGTGGTGGTGTTAGTAGTAGTTGTGGTGGTGGTGGTAGTTGTGGTGGTGGTGGTGGTGTTAGTAGTAGTTGTGGTGGTGGTGGTAGTTGTGGTGGTGGTGTTAGTAGTAGTTGTGGTGGTGGTAGTGGTGGTGGTGGTAGTTTTGGTGTAAGTAATAGTTGTGGTGGTGGTAGTGGTGGTAGTGGTGGTTGTGGTGGTAGTAGTGGTGGTGGTGGTGGTAGTGGTGGTGGTGGTAGTGGTGGTGGTGGTGGTAGTGGTGGTGGTGGTAGTGGTGGTGGTGGTGGTAGTGGTGGTGGTGGTGGTAGTGGTAGTGGTGGTGGTGGTGGTAGTTTTGGTGTAAGTAATAGTTGTGGTGGTGGTAGTGGTGGTGGTGGTTGTGGTGGTAGTGGTGGTGGTTGTGGTGGTGGTGGTGGTGTTAGTAGTAGTTGTGGTGGTGGTGGTGGTGCGTGTTTGTGTCTCACAGCTGGTGCGACTCTCCGTGGTTCTCCGGGATGACCTACACCGCAACCGGCACCGCCGGCACGGCAACAACCGCCGGCACGGCAACAACCGCACCACCACCACCACCACCACCACGACCACCACCGCCAGGGTCCGGCACCACCACCACCACCACCACGGCATCCCACGGCGTCTCCACGCCCACCTCGGCTCCAGCCAGCTGGCCAGGTGGGTGGTGGTGGGGGGGAAAGGTGGGGGGGGGGAGGAGGTGGGGGGAAGGTGGGGGGGGAGGTGGGGGGGGGGGAGGTGGGAGGGAGCAGAGGGGGAGGTAGGAGGGAGGGTTGCAGGTGCCTTGTTCAGAGCTCCCTGACCCGTCCACCCACCCTCTACCCACCCCCCCACCTACCCACCCACCAACCCACCCACCCACCAACCAGGGCCGGCGTTTCCCAGCCTGGCACACCACCACCACCACCACCGTCACCAGCACCACCACCACCACCACCAGCACCACGGTGACAGCGACGATGACGGTGAAACTTGGTGGGGAGGAGCGACCTTCCACCCCACTGACTCCTCAACCGGTGCCGGTGGTGGTGCCGGTGGTGGTGCCGGTGCCGGTGGTGCCGGTGGTGGTGCCGGTGGTGGTGCCGGTGGTGCCGGTGGTGGTGCCGGTGGTGCCGGCGGCTCGTCGTCTTCGCTGCGCCGGCTGCTGTGCGAGTCGCTGTTGGCGGTGTACGTGGCGCTGGTGGCGCGAGGCCTGGCCAGCCACGACCCCTCGCTGCTCTACCGCCTGGCCGCACGTCCGCCGGGCACCGACGCCGCCTGGCGCGCCGTCTTCGGGGGCTACGCCGTCGCCGACGCCGACGCCGACGCCGACGCCGGCGGCAACGCCGCCGAAGACGGCGGCGTTGCCGGGCCGGCGACGTCGGCGCTTCAGCGGCGGGGGCGGCAGCGGGAGGGGGGAAGCGGGGAAGGTGGGGGAGCGGCGGCAACATCGACACCACCATCATCATCGTCACCGTCATCACCACCGTCATCAACACCATCATTACCACCGTCATCATCACCACCACCATCATCATCAACACCAATCATCACCGCCGTCATCACCATCACTACCATCATCACCACCACCATCATCATCAACACCATCATCACCGTCATCACCGTCATCATCACCACCACCATCATCACCACCACCATCATCATCAACACCATCATCACCGTCATCACCACCATCATCACCACCACCGTCATCAACACCATCATCACCGTCATCACCACCATCATCACCACCACCGTCATCACCACCACCATCGCCACCATGACTACCACAGTCACCATGCCCGTGTCTCCTTCACCCCGCGCCTCCATCACCCCGTGTCTCTGTCTTCCCGTGTCTCTGTCTTCCCGTGTCCCTGTCTCCCCGTGTCTCTCTCTCCCCGTGTCTCTCTCTCCCCGTGTCTCTTTCTCCCCGTGTCTCTTTCTCCCCGTGTCTCTGTCTCCCCATGTCCCTGTCTCCCCGTGTCTCTGTCTCCCCGTGTCCCTGTCTCCCCGTGTCTCTTTCTCCCCGTGTCTCTTTCTCCCCGTGTCTCTCTCTCCCCGTGTCTCTTTCTCCCCGTGTCTCTCTCTCCCCGTGTCTCTCTCTCCCCGTGTCTCTGTCTCCCCGTGTCTCTCTCTCCCCGTGTCTCTCTCCCTGTGTCTCTCTCTCCCCGTGTCTCTGTCTCCCCGTGTCTCTCTCTCCCCGTGTCTCTCTCACCCCGTGTCTCTCTCTCCCCCATGTCTCTCTCTCCCCGTGTCTCTCTCTCTCCCCGTGTCTCTCTCTCTCCCCGTGTCTCTCTCTCTCCCCGTGTCTCCGTCTCCCCGTGTCTCCGTCGCTCCGTGTCTCTCTCCCCATGTCTCTCTCCCCGTGTCTCTCTCTCTCCCCGTGCCTCTCTCTCCATGTCTCTCTCTCTCCCCGTGTCTCTCTCTCTCCCCGTGTCTCTCTCTCTCCCCGTGTCTCTCTCTCTCCCCGTGTCTCTCTCTCTCCCCGTGTCTCCGTCTCCCCGTGTCTCCGTCGCTCCGTGTCTCTCTCCCCATGTCTCTCTCCCCGTGTCTCTCTCTCTCCCCGTGTCTCTCTCTCCGTGTCTCTCTCTCTCCCCGTGTCTGCATCTCCCAGTGTCTCCATCACCCCGTGTCTCTGTGACCCCGTGACCTCGTGTATCCGTGACCCCGTGACCTCATGTCTCTGTGTCTTTGTGACCTCGTGTCTCCGTGTCTCCGTGACCTCGTGTCTCCGTGACCTCGTGTCTCCGTGACCTCGTGTCTCCGTGACCCCGTGTCCTCGTGTCTCCGTGACCTCGTGTCTCCGTGACCTCGTGTCTCCGTGACCCCGTGTCTCCTTGAGCTCGTGTCTCCGTGACCCCGTGACCTCGTGACCCCATGACCCCATGACCTCGTGTCTCCGTGTCTCCAGGTGACCCTGCAACAGTAAAGGATGTAGGGGAGCCACCAGGTGAGTGTGGGGGAGTGGTGGCGATGCGGTTAGCACTACCACGCTACTCTAGGAACCCACTCACAACCACCACCACCAACACAATCACTGATTATCATCACCATCATCACCACCACCACAATCACTGATTATCACCACCATCACCACCAACACCACCAACACCACCATCACCACCAACACCACCATCACCACCAACACCACCATCACCACCACCATCACCACCTTCACCACCATCACCGCCACCACCATCACCACCACCATCACCACCATCACCACCATCACCATCATCACCACCAACACCACCACCATCATCACCACCACCATCATCACCACCACCATCACCACCATCACCACCACCATCACCACCACCACCACCATCACCACCATCACCATCACCACCACCATCATCATCACCACCACCATCACCACCATCACCACCACCACCATCATCACCATCACCACCACCATCACCACCACCACCACCACAATCACTGATTATCACCACCACCACTACCACCATCACCACCATCACCACCGCCACCATCACCACCACCACCACCATCACCGCCACCATCACCACCACCATCACCATCACCACCACCATCACCACCACCACCATCACCACCACCACCACCACCATCACCACCACCACCACCATCACCACCACCACAATCACTGATTATCATCACCATCATCACCATCACCACCACCACAATCACTGATTATCACCATCATCACCACCAACACCACCATCACCACCAACACCACCATCACCATCAACACCACCATCACCACCGCCACCACCATCACCGCCACCACCATCACCACCACCATCACCACCTTCACCACCACCACCACCACCATCACCACCTTCACCACCATCACCACCACCACCATCACCATCATCACCACCAACACCACCATCACCATCACCACCACCATCACCACCAACACCATCACAATCACTGATTATCACCACCATCACCACCATCACCATCACCACCATCACCACCACCATCACCACCATCACCATCACCACCACCAACACCACCATCACCACCAACACCATCACAATCACTGATTATCACCACCATCACCACCATCACCACCACCAACACCACCATCACCACCAACACCATCACAATCACTGATTATCACCACCATCACCACCATCACCACCACCAACACCATCACCACCAACACCACCATCACCACCAACACCACCATCACCACCACCAACACCACCATCACCACCATCACCACCAAAACCACCATCACCACAATCACTGATTATCACCACCATCACCACCAACACCATCATCACCACCAACACCATCATCACCACCATCACCACCATCACAATCACCATCACCACCACCAACACCACAATCACCACCATCACCACCACCATCACAATCACCACCATCACCACCACCATCACCACCTTCACCACCACCACCATCACCACCACCATCACCACCTTCACCACCATCACCGCCACCACCATCACCATCATCACCACCAACACCACCATCACCATCACCACCACCATCACCACCAACACCATCACAATCACTGATTATCACCACCATCACCACCATCACCATCACCACCACCATCACCACCATCACCATCACCACCACCAACACCACCATCACCACCAACACCATCACAATCACTGATTATCACCACCATCACCACCATCACCACCACCAACACCACCATCACCACCAACACCATCACAATCACTGATTATCACCACCATCACCACCATCACCACCACCAACACCATCACCACCAACACCACCATCACCACCAACACCACCATCACCACCACCAACACCACCATCACCACCATCACCACCAAAACCACCATCACCACAATCACTGATTATCACCACCATCACCACCAACACCATCATCACCACCAACACCATCATCACCACCATCACCACCATCACAATCACCATCACCACCACCAACACCACAATCACCACCATCACCACCACCATCACAATCACCACCATCACCACCACCATCACCATCATCACCACCATCACAATCACCACCATCACCACCATCACCACCAAAACCACCATCACCACAATCACTGATTATCACCACCATCATCACCACCATCACAATCACCACCATCACCACCATCATCACCACCACCACCACCATCACCACCATCACCACCATCACCACCACCACCATCACCACCACCACCATCACCACCACCATCACCACCATCACCACCACCACCATCACCACCACCACCACCACCACAATCACCACCATCACCACCACCATCACCACCACCACCACCATCACCACCACCATCAACACCATCACCACCACCACTACCACCACCATCACCACCACCACCACTACCACCACCATCACCACCACCACCATCATCACCATCACCACCACCACCATCACCACCATCACCACCATCACCACCAACACCACCATCACCACCACCAACACCACCATCACCACCATCACCACCAAAACCACCATCACCACAATCACTGATTATCACCACCATCACCACCAACACCATCATCACCACCAACACCATCATCACCACCATCACCACCATCACAATCACCATCACCACCACCAACACCACAATCACCACCATCACCACCACCATCACAATCACCACCATCACCACCACCATCACCATCATCACCACCATCACAATCACCACCATCACCACCATCACCACCAAAACCACCATCACCACAATCACTGATTATCACCACCATCATCACCACCATCACAATCACCACCATCACCACCATCATCACCACCACCACCACCACCATCACCACCATCACCACCACCACCATCACCACCATCACCACCACCATCACCACCATCACCACCACCACCATCACCACCACCACCACCACCACAATCACCACCATCACCACCACCACCACCATCACCACCACCATCAACACCATCACCACCACCACTACCACCACCATCACCACCACCACCACCACTACCACCACCATCACCACCACCACCATCACCACCATCACCATCACCACCACCACCACCACCATCACCACCATCACCACCATCACCACCACCACCATCACCACCATCACCACCACCACCATCACCACCACCACCATCACCACCACCATCACCAACATCACCACCACCACCATCACCACCACCACCACCACAATCACCACCATCACCACCACCATCACCACCACCACCACCATCACCACCACCATCAACACCATCACCACCACCACTACCACCACCATCACCACCACCACCACCACTACCACCACCATCACCACCACCACCATCACCACCATCACCATCACCACCACCACCACCACCATCACCACCATCACCACCATCACCACCACCACCACCATCACCACCATCACCACCACCGCCACCACCACCACCACCACCGCCACCACCACCATCACCACCAACACC